CATATTGCAACATCTCTTCTACTTCAAGGGGCAGACATTCATCTGCCAATGTTTTCGACTTACATATGGAAATGCCAACGAGACGACAGTCTATTCACATACCACATGATACAATGGCCTCAAGTTCAAGGGGAGGACACGCAAGCGGGAACTTATTTTACCTCAACATTGGATTATCGGAGGAACCCTCATCTCCACCAGAAGAACCTTTTCGGGAGCCAGGTGCAGATGGTGCTGAAATGGGATTATTCGTTGAACCTGACTCACTATAGTTTAACGTACATTCTGATGATGACGAGGATGACGTTCCGATAAATACAACACCAGTCGAACTTCCTGCACATATGTATGAGGATGATTATGATGCAATGTATGAGCCTGAATTTCCAGATCTTCCTGATGTTGGAAACTATGGACTTCAATCATTAGTCAATGACGGTAATTTACATATTGGAATGGAGTTCGCATCGAAGGAGGAAACAATGGTGGCAATAAAGAGTTACAATATTCGTAACTCAGTTAAGTCCCGAGTTGATCGATCTAAAACGGAGAAATATGTCTGCTACTGCGTCCAACGTGACAACGGATGTCAATGGATGGTCCGTGTATCAAAGAGGAAGAGGAAGAACAACTTATGGGAACTAACCAGATACAACGGTCCTCATACATGTTGTGCAACAGGTATAAACCAGGATCATCCCAACTTGGACTCCAACATTATTTGTCAAGCAATCATGCCCATTTTGAAGCAAAGCTCTTATATAGTTGTTGCAGTGTTGATTTCTGCTATACAGTCACAATATGGGTACACTGTCTCATATAAAAAAGCGTGGTTGGCAAAACAGAATGCCATTTGCAAACTTCATGGCGAATGGGATTCCTCTTACAACGAGCTGCCCAGTTGGTTTCATGTTGTGCAAAGACTTAATCCCGGGACAATTGTTGAGTTCGAAACTCAACATCATTACGTGAATGATCGAATGGTTCGCGATCGCTGCCAATTTTACCGTGTCTTTTGGACTTACCCTCAGTGTATTAATGCAGTCAAGTACTGTAAACCAGTTGTCCAAATTGATGGTACTTTCTTGTATGGGAAATACAAGCAAGTTTTATTATTGGCTGTGGTCCAAGATGGAAACCGTAATATTCTTCCTGTTGCGTTTGCCCTCGTTCAAGGAGAAGACACTGAATCTTGGGCTTTTTTCCTTAAAAATTTACGTTTACATGTTGTCACCAGGGAACGAGTATGCATTATTTCAGACCGAGGAGCCGGGATAAAAGCAGCAATGGACTCTTTGGGTACAATGTATAGACCTCCACATGTTCAACATTGTTATTGTGTCCGTCATATTGCTGCAAACTATTACGGAAAATACAAAAAGAACGATGAACGTCAGTTAGTCATGCGGATGGGTATGTTACTTTTTCCCAATTTTTCTATCAATTTCTTATTACTTATTTATACTTCATATTAACTATTACATATTCCTAATGGCTTAGGTTACGAACTCTTACCTCAAAGGTTTGAGTCGATGCTACAAGAGCTGTTTGGCAAAAATAAGAAGGAGTGCGAGTATATTATGGACATCAGCAAAGAAATGTGGAAAAATGCATATGACGGGGGGTATCGCTATGGTCATATGACAACAAACTTGGCTGAAGCAATAAATTCAACCTTAAAGGGGGCGCGTCATTTACCAGTCACGGCGTTGGTTAAAACGACTTATTTTCGTTTGGGTCAACTCTTTGCAAAGCTCGGTGGACAAGCTCTTACTTGGATGCAAAACGGACATATTTACCACCCAAGACTAGTAGTTGATTTACAGAAAAAAGTGGTTGCATCAAATGGGATGTTAGTCACAAATTTTTCTCGCACCTGTGAATTGTTTCGTGTAACCGAAATGCCACGTCCGCTGCAAGGGATTGGAGCTAACTCTTTCAGAGTTAATCTGCAAGAGAGGTGGTGCGATTGTGGTTTCTTTCAAGCACTCAAATATCCATGCTCTCATGTCATTGCTGCTTGCTCACATTCGTATTTGGACTACAAAAATTATGTTGATCCCGTATACCAACTTTCACAAGTATTCAAGGTATATGAATTTGAGTTTCCGCCCATAGGAAACGAAAGAGACCCAAATGAGATTCAAACTTGGCTTACAATTGTACCAGATCCATTATTATTGAGGGACTCAGGTCATCCAAAATTTACTAGAATACATTGTGATATGGATATTCGGGAGAAGTCAACAGAACAAAAACGATGTGGGCATTATAGAAACATCGGACACAATAGAAAAAAAATGTCCAGCTCTGTTATCATCATATAACCGTTAACTCTTATGTAATTAATATTGTATTTAAATGAATGTTTTTGTTTCTAATAATTTAATGTTATTGCATTTATATAATTTGTCAATGTATGTACACCTAATTAATTTTTTTTAACTTTTAAATACATAAATATTTTTAATATATTTATTTAATATAATAATTAATATTATTAGTTATAATTTTTTTAAATATAATATTAATTCTACCTTCTAAGTAGAGAAAAATATTAAATTAAACAAATTAAAAGTTATTAAAAAATTTATGTATACGATGACACATTTCATGTTCTGATTGGATGATTAAATTTATTAAATTAAATTTTCAATAAGACTAATTTCATAAAATATGTAAGTCTTGAAGATTAAATATGTAATTATACTAATTTATTAACTTATGCATCAATATTTTCGTTAAATATTGATAAGAGATGAATATATTGATAACATTTAAATAATTAACTGATAAAATTAATAGATCGATAATCAAAATCAAAAATAATAATATAACCATATGTGTAATATTATAATTTCATACATTTTTCCTATAACTATAATAAAGTCAAAACTGATTTTCATATATTGTTATATCATATTAATGTAGATAATTCACTCTACCTTTAACACACATTATCAAAATACATTTGATAATTCTTACATTATAATCGAAACACTTTACATAATATATTATTAATTTATAATAATAATAAAAATAAAATATTTATTATTAAACAAAATACGTGGCAGTCGAGCTGACGAAAGGCGCGTCCCCGGGGATGCGCCTTCCACACGTGGCATCCAACTCAGCGAAAACACGGGTAAAGCACGTCCCCGGGAACGCGCCTTTCGCCAACTCAACCGAAAAGGTATCATTTCGAGAAATATATATTAAACGGTGCCATAGAGGTAAATATGAGTTAAAGGCGTGTCAGTTTAGTCAAATAACCCTATCCAAATTGGATATTGACGTGTAACCTAAGCATCAATTTCGAGTTTTGGATAATGTTGCCACGTTCTTCTGCATCACCCCCTCCGTTATATATACCTGATTTTTCTCACTATCTTCATCATCTCACATCATTTGCGTTTCTCTCTTTTGAATCAATCTCCGTTTTATAATTTTTCTGCCAAGAAGAGAAGAGGGTTTATCTGTAAGAGAGCAAGGAAGATGTTAACAATATTCAACAAAGAGTTGATGAATCCGCCAAAGGAGCTGCACAGCCCAGCTTCACTCTGTTCATCCAACAAACCCAAGTTCCCAGAACAGATCATCAAGGATTTTCTCGCTTCAAATCCCACCAATGCTTTCTCAGTCGGGTTCGGATCCTCGGCTTGCATTGCCTATGCCCCGCCCGAGAATCGTTACTCCAATTATCAAAGGTAAGCTGCTCTGTGCTCACCAATCCATTACACCACAAAGATACCTTTTTTTTCTCTTTAATGTTTCGTGATTTTTAAAGCTTGTGGGTATTGATGGTGAAAAATGTAGGCTGTTTTGTGGAGTGGATGAGATATACTGCATTTTCATGGGGGGTTTGAATAATCTAAACAGCCTTTTAAGGCAGTATGGTCTGTCGAAAGGCAGCAACGAAGCAATGTTTATCATCGAGGCGTATCGGACCCTCCGGGACCGAGGTCCGTACCCGGCCCATCAGGTGCTAAAGGATCTTGAAGGCAGCTATGGATTTGTGGTGTATGACAGCAAGGCTGGAAGTGTTTTTGCTGCATTGGTAAACATCATTTTCAAAGCTTTGTTAATGGAAACTCAATACATGTGTGATCTTCTTATTGATTAATTGTTATTTACTTTTGGTGGTGATTAGGGTTCAGATGAAAGGGTTGAACTCCATTGGGGTGTTGCAGCTGATGGATCGGTGGTTGTCTCGGATAATCTGAAGCTTATAAAAGAAAGTTGTGCTAAATCATTCGCACCATTTCCAGCTGGTATGCTCTTCTTCCTTTTCAATTACTTCTGCCTTTTGGTCGAAATTTGACATCAGTACTTCCACATCGGTAAGTTTAAGATTTAATCCTTTAATTTCAGAAGAATCAAATGTATTAACTTTCTTTATGGGTGAATGTAGGGTGTATGTTCCATAGTGAGCAAGGGTTGATGAGTTTCGAGCACCCGAGGAGCGAAATGAGGGCAATGCCGAGAATCGACAGCGAAGGTGTGATGTGTGGTGCCGATTTCAAGGCCGACGTTCAGTCGAGAATCAGTACCATGCCGCGAGTCGGCAGCGAAGCCAACTGGGCACTGCGAGGCTCCCATGCTTGAATACTTAATTGAGACGATTGAGATCATAACATAACCCGCATTTTATTCCTTGATTTCTGAATGATTTCTTGTTTTTTCTTAGCATTTTTTACTTCTTTTTTTTTTGGATTTTCTACTTAAGTCGAGCTGTAAAAAATGGCCTAAAAGCATGAAAAGGCATGTTTGATAAATAATTTACAAAATTAAAATATATATTTTATGTTTACATATGAAAACTGTGGCTTATTCAGGGGAATAATAGAAAAAAAATAAAAATAGGGATATTTATTATTTAAGAAAATAGGTCAAAAATTAATCTAAAATAAAGTACATAAACTAAAATTTAAAATTTGAGCATCCTAGAGAAGAAGAAAAAACCATAATTTAAACTCGTCTAACAAATGGCACAGCTCTGGATCATCAGCAAGCAATGAAAGAGATGGGCAAAAATACGCCCTTGCAACTGACCATCGGCAAGCAAGAGTAGCAACGAACTATGTTGCTTTTTTGCTTCATTGTTGCTCTCAATCTAACTCATTCGAGAGATGATTCAACCTTTCATCGAGCTCTAACAAATGAGAACTCGATGATAAATCAATCCGACTCCACAAAGATCTGCAATCACAATCGAAAGGTACTTTAGAACTGAACTGATTTTAGTAATTCGAGATTACAAGAAAACGAATCAGCCTGCAAGTATGATGTACCAACCTCCACATCTACCAAAGGGTCGAAAGTCTTTTTCTCTATTGTGTCAAACACCACAACGCCACTAATTCTCTGGACTCCGAGTTTGGTTGCGATTATGTTCTGCACATGCAAAGTAGAAAAACAGCTTATGTACAAGAAAGTTGCAGACCAAGTAGAAGCAAGACTGGTAGTAAATGATTTGCACGTAAACTTTCTTCATACCAGATAGAAATCGGTGGAACCGAATGCCTCCACCTGTGGTACTGCCTGTACAAAAGTGTCAAATTTGTATTTAAGTATTGCAGCAAATCATAACTTTAATATGTTACAATGAGAAAGGAACATTAATAAACATTGTTATCAATGTTTATTAATGTTGATCAGATGCTGATAGTCTTACCAGAAGATGATTTGAGTCGTGCAGAATACATGATGCAACTACATCATACGTGTATAGAGTACCTCATGGCAACAACAGAAAATGATGGAAAAATTACTTACAACTGTAATATATAAGAAAAGACTCACTATCTGGTTATTTTGAGTATTAATCGGGCAAAAATGTAAGTGTTCCTCAGTCGACACGATCAAATTACATGGACAGAAATTTTGACTGTTCATACATACATGTTATGCAGACTGACAGATTACTTTAGATGCCACCAACCGCATCTCTTCATGAAGCTATAAGAAGGCAAGTTCAGACGAATTCCTACCACATCATTCATGTATGCATGTTATGCGGTGTGACATACCACTTTAGCCACCACCTACGACATTTCCCTCTTGATCAAGAAGTTCTAAGAGAATATTTTAAAGACGAAACGTCATTTATCCCCTCTACCTCTACCAATAAAGGAAAGCCTTAGGTATATATGCCTTCACAAAATGTATGAAAGACAATATTACAATAGTTTAGTACAAAATAAGCTAAATTAGTGTTGGCAGTCAATTAAATCAATTACCATATTCTGAAGCCCGTTAATCGTAACAAACTTCTCTTCATGTGCACTATTTTGTGATAACCAGACCTTAAATGGGCCCGTCTCTCTCTCTCTTTATGGTTTGTAAGCTTCAAATGTACCTGAAAAACATAGATTAAGCCAATTAAAGGTCGATTAAAAATTCCTTAAGGATGAAGCTAAAGACTAAGAAGCAAAGGAAGATACTCTAAGGTCTGGGCAGACCTTAAGTTCTGTCATTATGGTGAAAAGAATTTCTAGGAAAAAATGGTGTCGTAACCGGTTTTCGTCCGGGCACGAAAAATTTTCTTGACGGGAAAAGTGATGTGAATAAATAGTTTTGAAAATAATTTGAGAGTCGCCATCGGCCTTTTGGGTCAGGTAGGTCGAATACCTAAAAATTATTTTTTAAAAGAGTTTTAAGAAAACACCAATAAAAATAATGAACTGATCTGCGTTTATAACCAAAAATTCGTTCTTTTTAATAATAAAAAGGGATTCGTGGTCGATTACGTTTAGGGAAGGATTAGCACCCCTACAACGCCCAAAATTGGTACTTTTTAATTATAAATTGTCTCTATTAAAACTATTAAAAATTTAAAATATATTTAATTTATAATCATATTATTAAAAAAATTAAAAAAATATTTATTTAAAAATATCAGAAAATGACTTCTAGGTGCCTTAAGACAGCTCTTTTCTTTGATATTGATTAATTTACATAAAATTAAATAATAATAAATTTTTTTTTTATAAATTTTAATTTTAAAATACCAGAATATGACATCCAGTTGTATTAAGACTGTCCTTTTCTTCGATTTAAAAAAAATAAATATTAAAATAATTTATTTGAAATAAATATTTATTTATTATATATATATTTATGACTATATAATAAAAATATTTAAATAAATAAATAAGTAAAATTAAAATAAAAATACAATTGGAGCTATATATTTAAAAGCAATAAAATAAATGAAAACATTTAAAATAAATGACTAAATTATAGTAAAAATAAAATTAAAAACCTAATTCATAATTAATCAAAATTATAGGGATTAAACATGCTATTTCTTTATTCTATAATTTTAGTGACTAAAATAAACTTATCTAAAATTCGGATATAAGATTAAAATAAATTAAAAATATAAACTAGGGATTAAAATTTTATTTATTAAAATTAAGGGATTAAATCTGTTATTTATCCTAAATATATTATTTTAATATAAAGGACTAAAATAAATAAATTTAAAATTGAAAGATCAAATTAAAAGGATTAAAAACTCGATTTAGTGACTAAAATGTAAAAATTACAAGTTGGAATGGCTGCGGAAAGGGTTTGACCTTAATGGAAATTACAGAAATACCCTCCCCAAAACGACGTCGTTTGGGAGAGGGTATTTATTCCCTAAGCCGGCTGGCCCTACGGGCCAGTTTCTCATTTCTTCAATTCTGTTCTCTCTCTAACAGAGAGAGAACAAAAATGTTCTCTGCCTTCTCTCTAGCTTCCCTCACCGGAGGGAAGCCGGTCACCGGACGGCAACCGTTTGCCGCCGTGACCATCACCGCCGGCCACCGCATCTGGTGGCCGGAAAATTTTATTTTTCCACCATTAAATAGATCGGACCGTCCTAAGGACGGTCCCGGTGTTATTTTCTTCTAAATGGCTCCTAATCGGAGCAAATCTAAAGAATTACCTTCGGTTTTTCGAAGGTTTTGGTGAGATCCGGTGGTCGGCTTCCTCGGTAAGGTTCTCTTCTTCCTTTTTCTTTCTTTTCTGTTTCTTTGCTGCGTTTGTTGTTGAGATCGTTGGTAGTATTTTGTATTATTTTTTTCGGTTTTGTCTCCCTAGGATCTGTTCTCTGTCTCCCTGTTCTTTCTTTGCAGGTTCGGGTGGTGGCTTTTATAGCCACCACCGGTGTGGTCATCGGACCGGTCCGAAGAGTGGGTTTCGGTGAGTCACCGGACTACCAGTGGTGACTCACCCCTTAGCCATGGTGTGGACGGCTGGCGTTGGAGCTTCTGGAGCCTTCGGTTGGGACGTGGCAGCGGTGGAGGCGGCGAGAGCAGCGGCGGCAGCCGCGTGGCCCTAGGGTATCATACCCTAGGGTTTGTATCTGGAGCCATCTGGACCGTTGGATCTTTCTAGATCCAACGGCAGCAAGCTGAGGCGGCTAGGGATTAGGGTTAGGAAACCCTAACTGAAACCCTAAATGTTTTTGGGTTTTAGTTTGGTTTGGGCCAGAAAATTGGTTTGTAATTAATTATTTTTAATAATATTTATATATGTATTTAATATATTTAATAATAATAATAATAATAATGATAATAATAATAATAATTATTATTATAATAATAATAATTATAATTATAATTATAATAATAATAATAATAAATTAATATGGGTAAAAAAATTAGTATCTTCAGCTGCCCCTCTTTGCTCATTCTTGTGTTAACAAGAATAGGGAAAAGATGAAAAGATAATAAAATTTTTTATCCATTTGGCTTCACTTGATCATAATGGAGATATTGAATAAATTCTTCTCTTTCTTCAGATGAGTTCTTCTCATTATGAACTTTCTGCTGAGGATGATGTTGACCTTTCTTTCTGTGATAGAGTCATTCAAAAGGTTGAATAAGCTTTTGATGAGTTCTTCTCATTATGAACTTTCTCTAGAAAGGCTGATGCTAATCTATCTCCTTCTGTGATAGAATTATGCAAAAAGTTGAAAAAATTCTTCTTATTATGAACTTCTTCTTTCTTCTTCAGATGAGTTCTACTCATTATGAACTTCTCTGAAAATGTTGATCCATCAATTGATGAATTCATGTAAAAGGTTGAACAAGTTCTTCTCATTATGAACTTCTTCTTCCTTCTTCAGATGAGTTCTTCTCATTATGAACTTTCTCTGGCAAAGCTGATCCATCTAATGATGGATTTGAGCAAAAGGTTGAACAAGCTCTTCTCATTATGAACTTTCTCTTCCTTCTTCAGATGAGTTCTTCTCATTATGAACTTTCTCTGGAAAAGCTGATCCATCAAGTGATGGATTTGAGCAAAGGTTGAACAAGCTCTTCTCATTATGAACTTTTTCTTCCTTCTTCAGATGAGTTCTTCTCATTATAAACTTTCTCTGGAAAAGCTGATCCATCAAGTGATGGATTTGAGCAAAGGTTGAACAAGCTCTTCTCATTATGAACTTTTTCTTCCTTCTTCAGATGAATTCTTCTCATTATAAACTTTCTCTGGAAAAGCTGATCCATCAAGTGATGGATTTGAGCAAAGGTTGAACAAGCTCTTCTCATTATGAACTTTTTCTTCCTTCTTCAGATGAGTTCTTCTCATTATGAACTTATCTGGAAAAGCTGATCCATCAAGTGATGGATTTGAGCAAAGGTTGAACAAGCTCTTCTCATTATGAACTTTTTCTTCCTTCTTCAGATGAGTTCTTCTCATTATGAACTTCTCTGGAAATGCTGATCGATCAATTGATGAATTCATGTAAAAGGTTGAACAAATTCTTCTTATTATGAATTTCTTCTTCCTCCTTCAGATGGGTTCTTCTCATTATGAACTTTCTCTGGAAATGTCAATCCATCAAATGATAGATTTGAATCTTTGCTAAAATCTTTGAAATTCCTGTTAAAATTTCAACAAGAATAAAAATGAATGAAAATGCATCTATTTTTGCAAATGCCTAAATATGATGCATGAATATTAAGTTGTTTGATTTCAGATTGGTGAATTGAGTATTTCTTTAATTGTAAAAACCCAATAGATCTTTCTTCTTCAAAACAAAGAATCTATCATCTTTGACAAATGTAGATGTAGATATAATGTCACAAAACCTCTTGAGAATAAAACTCAATAGTATAGGCTCTTGAAAAGCTTGCATTCAGGCAACATGTTGATTCTGATAACAAATCATCTGATTATGAAGTGACCTTTCAAGATGATTTCACAGATATCGATAGTTCTTCTAATACCGAGAAATCTTGAATTCTGATTCTGATGAGGAGAATAAACTGTTATACTTGACAAAAATGTGATTCTCAAAGGCTGAAGCTTCAATAGCCATGTATAGACGTGGTTCAGATTCATCAATTGCAGAATTGACAAATTTTATATATGCTGCTCAGAATGACTAAGGCTGCTGACGCATTTCTTCCGGTAAAAGATGGAAAGCCATTATATGATGATCCTAATTACAAGAAAAGGCGAAACTTGTGCTATGATTTTTGGAAAGTAATAAACATAAGAAGCTTGAAAAGAAGCTTCTTAATGAAGACGATCATGCAGTTCATCTTTTAATTCCAATGATTGGTTCTGTAGTTCTTACCTAAACCAGATCAAATAACTCAAAGAACACTTCCAGAAGATGCTATTAGCAAATTCATCTTCCAAATTCAATGATTGGTTCTGTCAAACCAGATCAGATAACTCAAAGAACACTTCCAGAAGATGCTATGAACACATTTATCTTCCAAATTCAATGATTGGTTCTGTCAAACCAGATCAGATAACTCAAAGAACACTTCCAGAAGATGCTATTAGCAAATTCATCTTCCAAATTCAATGATTGGTTCTGTCAAACCAGATCAGATAACTCACAGAACACTTCCAGAAGATGCTATTAATACATTCATCTTCCAAATTCAATGATTGGTTCTGTCAAACCAGATCAGATAACTCAAAGAACACTTCCAGAAGATGCTATTAATACATTCATCTTCCAAATTCAATGATTGGTTCTGTCAAACCAGATCAGATAACTCAAAGAACACTTCCAGAAGATGTTATTAATACATTCATCTTCCAAATTCAATGATTGGTTCTGTCAAACCAGATCAGATAACTCAAAGAACACTTCCAGAAGATGCTATTAATACATTCATCTTCCAAATTCAATGATTGGTTCTGTCAAACCAGATCAGATAACTCAAAGAACACTTCCAGAAGATGCTATTAGCAAATTCATCTTCCAAATTCA